TCTCCTCGCCATGATTCCACGGATCACACATTTTCTTTACCTGCACCACTGAATAAGATGCGTAAGTATTCCAAAATACTTAGTGAGGCACTCATCCCAACTATTGGGCTATACACACAAGCAAATTCAATCATCATTCAAGAAAAAGAGACAAACAGCCAATAAATGACAAACTAGTATCGCTGATGACGATCGGTGTCTATTGACACCCACCACTGGTGTCGATCGACAGTCGCCCACGACACTCACGGTCGATACCGTGATCGACACTCCATTCGTAAGTCGCAATTATCCTCGCGGAACAAAACATTGCTCTGCATTCGCTTTAGCTAACGTTTCTCACTGGATCTCCTCTCCAAATCACCTCCATGATATGAGCGAGTCTCCAAGAGGTTTCATAGGGATCATTCAACACATAATCAGCCAAACAAGCAAAGAAATCAATCAAACAATCATCAAAAACCCCAAAACAATGACTAAACATGCTTAGATAAGCCTTGGTCATGCACTCACTGTATACAAGACTGAACAGCAACGAAAACAGGGAAGAAAAAGGAATATATGCCTCTCCTAACACCACACAGCACGGATCTAGCCTCCACTAGCCTTAAACCACCAAGAACAAGCTTTGATCTCACTCACTCAAAAGCACCAAAAAGGATCAAACTCACTCTCTGCTCTTTTCTCAACTTCTAAAAGCGGCTGAAAGAAAACAAGGACGACCTTTTCTCTTTTAAATCGCAACTTAGGATTAAACCCAAACCAACCCTAATCAAAACACAATTAAAAGCAAACCGATCAAACCGAAAAATGTTGATGTCCAGCGACAGCCTCCCTTGGTGTCGATCGACACCACCCATTTTCGAACACGGGTGTAACCCGCCAATCCCAGAAAACTATGAATCTTCGTGGCATTATGCGGTATAGGCCAATCTCAGATGGCCTCAATCTTCTTTGTGTCCACAGAAACTCTCTCTGCATACACAATATGACCCAGAAAACCCATCTGTCTCTGCCAGAAACTGCACTTGCTAAGCTTAGCATACAGCTTCTGCTCCCGCAACTTCTCCAACACTGTCCGCAAGTGTCACTTATGCTCCTCAAGACTGTTAGAATACACCAGAATATCATCGATGAAGATGATAACAAACTCATCCAGAAACGCCTGGAACACACTTAGAGAACCACATAGCTCCCCTAAACTGATCCAACAACTCGTCAATCCGCGGAAGAGGATAGTTATTCTTCATTTTGACTTGGTTAAGTCCCGGTAACCGATGCAAAGCCGAAAACTCCCATCCTTCTTTTTAACAAACAACACCGGTGCTCCCCACGGTGAAACACTAGGATGGATGAAACCTTTACCCAACAGATCCTCCAAATGGTTCTTCAGCTCAGCCATCTCTGCTGGAGCCATCCGGTACAGAGCCTTAGACAATGGCGTTGTCCCGGGTTCTAACTCAATCGTCAAGGTATCAGACCGAGATGGTGGTAACCCTTTCAACGACTGAAACATATCCTCGAACTCCTGGACCACTGCTACCTCTCCGACCGTCTCTGGCATCACGATTGTCGCCATGTAGGCTCCTCCGCCTGCATCGCCGAAATCACCAACAGCTTCACGGTCGAGTAACCCCGAGATTCCTCGATCTGCGCCACCGGTAGTGCTCCCAACTGAGCCAAATCCTGCCCTCCTGACTGCACCCACTGTTGCACTCCTGGCTGCATCCCCGACTGCACCGCTGCTACCATTTGCTTCATCTTAGGACAACTCGTCTTGATGTGTCCTGTCTCTCTGTAGTGTTAACAGACTCGAGTATCCACCCACGGCTCGCCCTTCTTCGGGTAGCTCGCCACCCTGTGATCCATGCTCCGACACCTGAAACACTTTCGATCACTCTGACCCGTCCTGAAAGTGTCATCCCACTTCCTCTTCTGTCCCTGAGCAGGTTTGCCACCTCTGCTCAGAACCGTTTGCGGCTAAGCCTTTTTCGGCTGCACTAACAGACTAGGAATCATCCCGTGACTGCTCAACCAACTCCACACGCGATGCATATGCTCGCACCTTGCACCGCACCCTCAAGTTGTGGCTGAGACTCTTCATGAACCGACACACCTGCATCTGCTAAGGATCTCTCGCACAACCCGAGTACACCAAGATTCGGCTAAAACCCGAGTCGTACTCCCGCACCGACCGCTCACCCTGAGTCAACGCCAGAAAATGCGACTCCATCATGTCCAGTGCCTCAGCCGGGAAATACTTGGCATTAAACTTTGCCAAGAAATCCCTCCACACTATCAATCTCTGCTCCCTCTTAGCCAGCACACTCCTCCACCACAAGTATGCATCACTAGCTAAGTAGTGAGACGCTAGATCCACCCGGTATGCCTTCGGGCACCTAATCGACTTGAAGTACCGTTCCAACCTCACCCGCCACACATCCGTTACAGCCCGATCGGAATCTCTAAAGAACAAGGACATTCCAAATCGCTGCAATTGCTCTAACATCTGCAGATAGTACGTTGATAACTCCATATTTTATCCAATTTAGGCATACTTTTATTGCATATTTTTCATAGTTTGAGTCTTGTTGCATATGCATTATAGTCTCTTTTTCTTCATTTTGCACTCTTAGTTTGTTTTTGCATTAGCATTGCATATTTTGTGAATTTCGAGCATTATTAGGTGTTTTGGAGCTCTAAAAGAGAAGGGAGGTCCTATTTTTCATTTCTGGGATTAAAAAAAGAGAATTAGAAGCATTAAGAATGAAATAAGAAGGCACTCGACCAACCAACTCGACCACGTCAACAATCATCCGATCAGATGCAGTATAAGTCGCTGAAAGATCGACTCGAATGAAGATCTTGGGTTGGGTTTTAGTTTCCGAGGTCTTCACCAAAATTGTTGGAAATTGAGTTAGCTTTCCATTGTCTATGATTTGAAGCCAATAAGAGATGCGGTCCAGGCGTTATCACTGTTTTAGTGAATGTATATACATCCAGATTGAAGACTGGACGCCTAGAAGATCTCACCCGACCAAATGAAGCTGACCCGATCAAGCCAATATCTGACCCGATCGGATGGGGTGAAGTACCAGATTTTCAACTAAGGCATTGGACCCGACCGAGTCGTGGATGGACCCGAACGAGCCCAACGTGAACCCGACAGAGCTCTTTTCAAACCGACTTTGTAATTTGTTTTTCTCTGTTTTATGGCTTCCTCTACTTAGTATAAATAGTGATCATGGGTCATTAAGCCAAAAATCGATTTTTTATTAGGGGTTTTCTCTGTAGCCACCAAACATTTCCAGAAACTTGTAATCTTAATATCTTTTGATCTATTGAGTTTTTAGTGTTGCTTCTTTATATTATTTTGCTCCTTAGATCATTATCTATCTAGTTATCCAAGATTTAAAGATTTATGGGTTTATGTTCTTCATGATGAATTCCAGATCTTAGTAGTTTTCTGGGTTTAGAGGATGGGTTAGGTGATGAGGAATCTTAGTTTCTAGGGATGTTTAAGTATAGATTCAGGTAGATACCCTCTGGATTAGGAGATTTAATTGCTAGTCTTTGCATTAACCATGTGGGATTAGATCTTAGACATTCCAGCACTCAAAAAAGTGTTCAATGGAATGTCTTATCAACTAATGCCAGAGATCTATTTACTTACCCAAGAGATTGGCTGTTAAGGAGTAGATTGACATTAATGAGCTTGTTCTTTATGCCTATCTATAGTATGTTTCAAGAGATAGGATTAGGAAGTGCTATAGATCTGATAATCTTTGCCAAGAGATAGGATTGATTAGGTTAAGTGGTTCATTGTCTGGGATGATATCTCATTGAGCATGTTAAGAATCCCCAAGAGATTAAGAGGATTCATCACCCCATTAGCCCATCCTTGAGACCTTCTTTTATCTGATTATTTACTTGCTTTATTTATGTTTTTAATATTGCTTCTGTAGTTCTTGTATTCTTAGTTTCGTTTCAGTAGTTCTCTTAGATCCTTCAGTTTATCCTTAGTACTGTTCTTAGATCTTTTAGTTTATCATTCTATAGTTTATTTTTATGCATTTGAGTTCTAAATCCCACACTTTCAACTGCTTGGCTTGACTTGATTAGTTCTACTATATCGTGATTATTTACAATACATCCATTTGGATCGATAACCTCATGTACTACATTGCACTGGGGAATTGAACTCCATGAACACACAAAAACCTTGTTTAAATTTGGCACCAATGCCATTTGGATATTAATTGTTCTATTTAAGATCCCAATTCTATCTAGATCAAGTTCTTTCTATTTCGTTTACATTCGATCACTGATTTTTTACCTTTGCTACTTGTTTGTTTTGCATTTCAGGTACACTCGACCGAGCTACACTCTGCACTCATCAGGCGACACTCTGCACTCGACCGAGCCTTCTAGAGATCCGATAGAGCGTGACCACGTGTTTCTGATCGAGCAACCTTGCATGCACACCAGATCCAAGGGCAACCCGAACTTACTCAATTACCTCAACAACATTGACCGCTTGACTAGACAACTCCGAAAGCAACGCGTTCAAACATCAGACATACACACTCAGCAAGGGGAAATGGATCCTCCACCAAGGGCACCTAAACTAATCAGAGCCGGTGATGCCCCGCGAAACCATACCACTCGTCAGGGGATAATGCCTCCAGCAGTCCAAAACAATAACTTCGAGATAAAAAGTAGCCTCATTTCGATGATATAGGGCAACAAGTTTCACGGACTGACCATGGAAGATCCTCTCGATCACCTCGATGAGTTCAATCGAATGAGTTCAATCGAATGTGTGGCTTAACCAAAATCAACGATGTTAGCGAAGACGAGTTCAAACTCTGATTGTTCCCTTTCTCCCTTGGCAATAAAGCTCATTAATGGGAGAAGTCATTGCCCGCTGGATCGATCACAACCTGGGAGGAGTGCAAGAAAGCATTCTTGTCTAAGTTCTTCTTCAATGCACGAACCGCACGATTGAGGAACGACATCTCTAGCTTTGCTCAGCGAAACAACGAAACCTTCTATGAGGCATGGGAGCGATTCAAAATCTATTAGTCCCAATGTCCTCACCACTGCTTCAGCAACGAGTCGCTCGTTAGTACTCTCTACCGAGGAATACTACCCAAGTTTCGCCTACTTTTCGATACGGCCAGCAATGGCAATTTTTTAAACAAGGATGTTGAAGCTGGTTGGGACTCGTGGAGAATCTAGCTCAGTTCGATGGAACATACAATGAGAACTATGACAGAACCGTTCGGGGAAACACCGACCAAGAGGACCAGTATAAGAAGGATATTAAAGCACTTAACGACACGCTCGATAAGTTTTTGATGAACCAACAGAAGAGTGTTCACTTTGTTCAAGAGGAGGAGACCTTTCAACCTCATGATGGTGATTGTGACAATACTGAGGAGGTGAGCTATATCCAGAATCAAGGCGGTTACCAAAAGGGTTACAACAACTATAAGCCCAACCCGATTATGTCTTCTAGAAGCACTAACTTTGCCAACCCTCAAGATCAAGTCTATCCACCTCAACAACAACAATACCAGAACAAGCCATTTGTTCGCTTCAATCAAAAACAAGCTTTTATCCTCAGCAACAGTCCCAAGGTGTTTATCAACAACCTCCTAATGTACCTGCAGAACAGGACGTCCAGGCTATTCTTCACAAAATCCTCCAAAGTCAAACCCACGGTAATCAACAATCAACCAAAATATTTATGGAGATCTACAATCACATGGACCATTCGTACACCACGCTAACTAAAAGCTTACCAACCTCTACCAACGTATTATCCATTTAGAAGGAAACACCACCTTTGCATCCCAATAAACACAATGTCAAGGATCACATATTTCAACACCGAACGAATTTGCCAATGTCGTCACCCTCTACAGTGGCCGTGTTTTACCACCTCGCGAAAGAGTCCTACCAACCCCTGGGAACACTGTTGACCAAGAGGGGGAGGATTCCAGTCTCTCAACCTTACCCAAAACTAAGAATACCGAACTGAAAAACATGCCCGATCGGGTTCATATCGAGTACGATCGGGTCAACATCAGACCCGACCAAGCTGGCAATTTTGAGGGAAGGCAAGATCCCGAAAATAAACTATTCACCCCGCATCCATATAAACCTCGATTACCATTCCCTAGCAGGTTTAAAAAAGAGATAACCGCGAGCGATGGAAAGATTCTTGAAGGATGCAATCATGGAAAGGCTAAAGGAAGTTCAGGGAGCGATGGTATTGAACCTTGAGTTTAGTGCTATTACCCAAAAGAAGAAAATTCAAGATCCAGGATCTTTTATGCTCACTTGCTCTTTAGGACCACTCTTCTTTGCTAGATGCCTTTGTGACATAGGAGCCTCGGTTAGCCTCATGCCGCTCTCCGTACCCTCTGATTTTGTAGTCCTTGAAATGGATGAGGAACCTAAAGACCCTTTGATACTAGGGAGACCATTTCTAGCTACAGTTGGTGCTATGATCGATGTTCGTATTGGAAAAATTAATATGAATCTTGGGAAGGACATAACTATGAAATTTGACATAAAGAGTACAATGAGAAACCCAACCATCAATGGGCAGGCTTTCATAATGGAGGAAATGGATCAACTAAACAATGAATTTCTGGAAGAGTTGACGAAGAAAGATCATTTGAAGACTGCTCTCACGAAAAGCAGTGTTGACAGATTTTTGTATAAGGAGACATCAGGCTATAGCGCTTGCTTAGACCTTTACAAAGTTGCGGACCACGCAGAACCACTTGAAGAGCTACGCAGAACGGGAAGAATAGACAAGACGATCTGCAAGGTTGAGTCATCTGAGCTGTCAATGGAACACAAAACCCGACCGAGTGAAGATCCGATCGAGTCCCCTTAGCTAAACCCGACCCGACCTAGTAAAGATCCGATCGAACTCCTAAGCTCGATCCAGCCATTAGTAAGCCCGAGCGAGTTATGTCCGACACGATCGGATGACTGGTCCGAGCTAAAGGCACCAAAACTTGAACTCCAACCTCTTCCCGTTGGGCTCAGGTACGCTTTCCTTGGTCCTAACGCTACATATCCTGTTATAGTTGATGCTAGCCTGAATAATGATGAATTAGAATTACCAAGTTTAGAAAGGCTATAGGATATACCTTAGACAATATCAAAGGAATTTCACTCAGTTTATGCATGCATAGAATTAGTTTGGAAAATGAATCTTATACCAGCATATAGCCACAGAGAAGATTGAATCCTAACTTAAAGGAAGTAGTTAAAAAGGAAATCCTGAAACTTCTCGATGCTGGGTCATTTATCCTATTTCTGTTAGCACTTGGGTTCTCCTGTCCATTGCGTTCCTAAGAAGGGCGGAATAACAGATATAAAAATTGATAAAGATGAGTTAATCCCTACTAGAACCATAACAGGACACGGGATGTGCATAGATTATAGGAAGTTAAATGCTGCTTCAAGAAAAGACCATTTCCCCTTGCCATTTATTGATCAAATGTTAGAAATACTTGCAAACCATCCCTACTATTGTTTCCTTGATGGGTATAGTGGATTCTTTCAAATCCCTATCCACCCAAATGACCAGAAAAAAACAACTTTCACTTGTCCCTATGGCACTTTTGCTTATAGACGCATGCCCTTTGGTCTATGTAATGCGCCTGCAACTTTTCAAAGATGCATGACCCCTATATTTTTGGATCTAATAGAGGAGACGGTGGAGATATTCATGGATGATTTTTCCGTGTATGGCTCTTCCTTCTCCTCGTGTTTGTTAAATATTTGCAAGGTTTTAGCAAGGTGCCATTTTATGTTTAATGAGGGAATTGTGTTGGGACATAAGATATCAGAACGAGGGTTAGAAGTGGATAAGGTAAAGGTCAAAGTTATGGTTCAACTGCAGCCACCTAAAACAGTAAAGGACATAAGAAGTTTCCTAGGACATGCTGGATTCTATAGAAGATTCATTAAATTTTTTTCAAAGATCGCAAGGCCTCTCACAAGACTCCTTTGCAAAGAGCAGGAATTCGTTTTTGATGACGACTGCATAAGAGCTTTTGAAGAGTTAAAGAAAGCCTTGATATCTGCTCCAATTGTCCAAGCCCCGGATTAGAATCAACCTTTTGAGATCATGTGCGACGCCTCCGACTATGCGGTAGGAGCAGTTCTAGGGCAAAAGATTGATAAGAAGGTGCACGTCATCTACTATGCTAGAAAAACGTTGGACAAGACCCACACACGGTATGCAACAACCGAAACGAAACTTTTAACAGTTGTCTTCGCCTTTGAGAAGTTCAGAAGCTACCTCGTTGGATCTAAAGTCACGGTTTTCACCGATCATGCAGCCCTACGCCACATCTATTCCAAAAAGGACACCAAGCCAAGGCTTTTGAGATGGATTCTTTTGCTTCAAGAATTTGATATGGAAATAGTTGACAAGAAAGGTATAGAGAATGGGGTGCCTGACCACTTGTCTAGAATGAGGATTGAAGACACTATCCCAATAGATGATTCTATGCCGGAAGAAAAGCCTTTAGGAATCGAATTATGGAGAGAAACAGCAGACACGGTCGCGTCAGAATTGGAGTTCCAGTGCAGCTTGGTCGGATCAGAATATGTACCTTGGGATGCACACATGGTTAACTTTAAAGTTTGTGGTGAAATCCCAGGATATATGGACCCATAAAGAAAGAAAAAAATTCTTACGGGAAGTCAATCACTACTTTTGGGACGAGCCCTACCTTTACAAGAGAGGATAAGATTCTTTATTTAGGAGATGTATAGCTGAAGAAGAGGTACAAGGAGTGCTTGAGCACTGTCATGGATCTGCTTATGGAGGTCACTTTGCCACCTTCAAAACTGCTCAAAAGGTGCTACAAGCAAGACTTTGGTGGCCGAAACTATTCAAAGACGCTCATGAGTTCTTCACTAAGTGCGATGCTTGCCAACGAATGGGAAATATTGGAAAACGAAACGAGATGCCTGAAAACCCAATACTAGAAGTTGAAATTTTCGACGTGTGGGGAATAGATTTCATGGGACCGTTCAACTCACCTTCCAATGGAAACACCTACATCTTAGTGCATGTGGATTATGTCTCGAAATGGGTAGATGTCCTCGCTTGTCCAACCAATGACCACAAGGTCGTTATCAAGATGTTCAAAAGCATAATTTTCCCTAGATATGGCGTTGCAAGAGCAGTGATCAGCGACAAGGGAATCCATTTCATCAATAAAGTCTTTGACGGTATGTAAAGCAAATATGGGTTGAAACATAAGGTATCTGATCGGCTTAATTAAGAGATCACTATAGTACTTAAGGATCGAATCAACAGAGACTCAACTTTACACAGTAAATATTCGGTATTAAAATTAAGCTAAGCAAGCAAGGTTTCAATATTAAACACAGCAAATTAAAATATTGGTTTTTAAAACAATATGAGAAAACGCTAGGCTCAGGGATATTCTCAGGAAATTCAGAATTGCAAATAAATAATTGTCAGGATTTATAAAGCACCGTTCTTGAACTCAAATCACAAAAGCATAATCAATCAATTTTCGTTGCAAAGACTATCTATGTTTAGAACCCTAAATTCCAAATCTTTTTGCAAATTTATAAGTTCATACATGCATTTACTTCAGGTTTTATAAGTTCACAAAATCTCTAAACCAAATCTCTTTTCAGGAAATCAATAACACTTTCGTGTTTACCAATTCTAGAACAAATTAACAACAATCTAGATGAAGAACTCTATTGATTCAATCCTAACAATCTAACAACCTAACAATTCATGAATTCCTTTGAAAACCCTAAACCTAACAAGAGATCTACTCAGACATTGTGAATGAAACAAACATCATGAATAAAATAGATATCATAAAAGAAAGTAATAGAAGAAATATAGGAGTTCTAAATCTTCTCTGAAGGAGGTTTTGATTCTTCTCTCCCAGCTCTCTAAAAATCTCTCTCTCCCAAAATATAGCTTAAGTCTTAACAAAACCCTAAAAACTCAATACATATGTCTTAACCACGAATTGGGCTTAATTACAAATAAGGGAAACTTCTGGGCTGAATCTGCAAA